ATTCTGGGCGCTTTTTCACATCAAAAGATTAATCAAGATTACTGTCCAAATTATTTGAGAGAATTTAAAGTCCTATTTCAGACGCAATTCAAAAATAAAATTAAAAGTTAAAAGTTTAAATCCCCCCCCCAAAAAATTTCTGGTCTCTATTTTCTTTTTCCCCACACTACGTCATCTATAATTAAGGGCAAATAAGTCCCGATTTGGCATGTTTCTTAGATTTTAGGTTCAGTTTGGTTACAGAAAAAATACATTTTTTTTTCCTTATTCATCATAAACAGGAATAAATTATCTTAGAAAAGAAGCAAGACAAAATTTGTCATCTGGAAATGTCAAGGTAGTTTGTTATTAAAATAGAACTTGTTCAAACAAATCTGTTTTTATTTTCAGGTTATTTTGTTGTAATGGTGATTCTGCAGCCCATCCAAGATGTTGCTGCCAGAGTTTTTGCCGACACCAGGAAAATGCATCACATCACACTGGTCCTTAAATCGCTGCGAAAGCTCCTAGTTTAAGACAATAAAATCTAAAACCTTAATTTTAGGTAATTAAGCCTGTACCATCTGGCAAGGACACACAGAATGGAAATCAGCCTTTGCTATAGTTGGCTGCGTTTATATTTCGGTTGTTCAAAATGTTAATTAATGCAGTGTCCCTCTACAGCAAATAAAGCAAATTAAATCAAGATATTAACAACTTGGTGGTCAGGTATGAACCATGTAGACTTCTCTGGTTGTCTAAGGATGTTTTAACTCCTGATAGTCTGGTAGGCTGCTTGATTGTGGAGCTAAAGTGCAACATTTGGGAAGCTCATGCGGTTCCCTTTCACACCTGACTGTGTCAAACGAACCAAAACCTTTGACCGACCCGCTTACGCCCGTCGCCTGTGGTGGTGCTGCGGCAAGAACCACAGAAGGAAATGACACAAAAACCTCTGAAGACAACACTGAGCACAACTTCCATCTTCGCGAAATGTAAACAAAAATGAAGTGAGATTTTTGCGGTTGGAGGATTTGTCTTTGGTCATTGGCAAAAGTCTATGAGCCATTTCTCCTGCTAGCACAAGACACACACGTTTGTTTTGGCTGTACTGACGCCCAGCACCGTTGTCCACTTCCTGCTTTTGGTGCAATCTCTGGTCCGCTTGGCATTTACTTATGCATTCAACCCGTGCCACAGTTCACTTTAATTAAACTGAGATCTAGGTTTTTAAGTGGCTCATTTTTTTGGTCTACATTAGAGGTAAATTGCACATTTGCACCTCCCCAAACAAACCAGACTGTGTAGGTAAACAAATTAGAGTTTGATTAGAGCAGATTAAACAAGGTTGGTGTGAATGCAGTCTTAGACCTGTTCATTTAATATGATCAGGATCAGAAGGACCTTCAGCTCTGTTTAGCTGTTAGGTCCTTTAAACTGTTTACTGCAGCTTTTGCATAAAGGTCAAAAATTACTTTTATCTTTTTTATCATGTTGTGGATTTTTAATTGGCTTTTTTACCCTTTTTGTGTGATGCTTTAATTTTTACCCTTTCACTTTATGTGAATTCTTATCTTTGTTTTCATGAATAAAATGGCTTTGACTGAAATCAAAAGATCAAAACCAAATGTTCAGCTTACTTTGAAATAAAAAAAAAATTAGAACAGTATGAATCTTAAATAACCTTGCCATTAGAATCGTAGAGACCAGAGTAATCTATTTGAGAAAGTTGTCAAAATATGAAGCACAGTTTTATGAGAGTAAACATACTCAGAAGGCGACCCAAACTGTTGCAACGTCAAGAAAGCCAACAAAGTTCAATCAAGATACATAAACAGCCCAAAAACACACACAGCAGAATGTGAATCCCTCTCTTATTACCCATAATCCACTTCAGCCCGGGCTGTGGGAGTCTCCCAGGGCCACGGATCACTGGAGCTTCGAGAAAGGTCAAACCGACCAAGAAAGCAGCCGGGTCATAATCATCAGCACACAGAAAAAAGAAAAGAAAAGAAAAAAAAATAGCTCCATGATTTGATAAAACAATCACTGAAACGTCTCATTTTCCATTCGTTTCCTCCATCCTTGTCTGTGTCTTTGTTTGTTTTTATCTCTTCATGTATTCCTCCCTCCTGTTTTTTCTTCAGTCGCTTCATCTGCTTCCCATCCCTCTGACATTTACTGCTGGACTAACTCCTGCCGCCCTCCGTTTCATCTTTCATGCTCCCTCAGTTCAGGTATTTAACCTGCATGAAGTAGCACATCAAGTTCATTACTCTGTTTAATGGCAGTGGCTGTTTAGCCGTCAAATTTAACTGCTAAACAGGGAGAAAGTGGATTAGGTGGCGGTGCACTAGGAGTTACAGAATTTTAGTGCATAAATGCTTCAAAAAAAATAAAATGAAACTGCAGCATTTATGGACGTATTTTCACTTGAAGACATAAAATCTTCTTGTAATGGAAAAAACGAATGCTGATTAAGTGAGTTTGAACTTCTTTAATAGCAAAATACTTTTTTTCCAAATAAGATTTGCCAAAAATTCTGAGTAATATCCGCTGGCGTCAACAGCCCATCATCATGACGCAAATCAAATGCCCCTAAAGCATCTAAAAGAGCAGAATTTAAATGGCTAATGACTCCAGCAGGTAAGTGACTATTTTGTGCTGTGGACCTTTAAACAGCAGGTCACATTCATACACATCACGGCTATAGCAATGCAGAGGAAGAAAAGCATCTCTGATAATATTTATGCACTTTAATTCAGTGCATGTTAATAAGTTTGCAATTATGTTGCTGAGTGGTAGAAATGTTGGTGTTCAGTTCATGTCCCGCTAAACAAATTTCCATATGAATGAAAGGAGCGTTTTCTCCTTCAATTAGCAGAAAAATGTAAATAAGCCAAAAAGAATGAGCATAGAAACAATTGAATTTTTTTTCCCTCCCAAGTAAACTTCAATTTACAGGTATAAATATTTTAGACTTTCTCCCAAACATCAAAAATCAGGTGAAATATTCATATCGCAAGTGCACTGTTTCCATGGGAGATTTTTAAAAAGGGGTTAGCATGCTAAAGCTTCAGAGTTTGGTGCGTTCTCACATGCAGTAATTGTTAAACGCCGACTGTAATTACAAAACATGTCAACGTGCATGAGAAGTGCGACTTCTTCCTTAAGATTGTGGGAACAACACTCTGTTAGAGTGGAGGGTGGAAAATGCACCCAAAGCCAAAAACAAGAACTGGCTCCTCATGAATACACTCGGGTTTAAATGTACTGTGGATTTTTGCTAATCCACAGAATCAAAATCATAATCAAGAAATCAATTAATCGCATGATAAATAAACTCAGTAATTTTCATTGGCATGATTTATTGTTTATCTCTTTAAAAACTGAATGATAAAAGTCTTCAGTTTGATAATTGGACCATAAGCTGCTTTATAAAGATTTCATAAATCATTTTATTAATGGCTCAGATTCTTTTAACTTGGATATTAAAAGGTCTTTCAGTTCCAGCTTTAATTGTTCACTATGATTTAAAGTTTATTGATCTTTGAAAATGTGTTCTTGCATTATTACAGTTATATTACTTAAAACAACAATATTATTGATTATCGCGATAACTTCTGAAGCAATTTATCGTCCAGCAAAACTTGTTATTGCGACAGGCCTTCTCCCGACATTAGTCAGAGGAGTGGCTGCAAGGAGGGTCTGAGTTTAAGACATTCGAGCGCTGCTATTGAAAACAATTCAACTATTTTGACAAAAACGAATGGGTCAGTTTGTATCGATTGGCTTTTTGTGAAATTAGTTTATTTTTATTTTATTTCATAGTGAAATAAAGATTTTAACGGCCATGGTTTGGCTTAGAGCAAATCCAAAAAGTTCACATTTTAACTTTTGTAACTGTAAATATAGTAAACATCAACATCAAATCAATTAATCATGTTGCTGTCTCCCAAGTCACTAAAGAAAATCCTAATCTTTACGGAACAACGCGAGACAAACCAATTATATTTCTTCCAGCTCCTGTCCACAGTTTGCAACAAATGCCTTCATGTTTTTGAGTTTAAGGTTTCTGCTTCTTTGGGTGAAACATCATGTGGGAACACAGACACGTTTGCCGTTTTATTTTTTTTGAAGGGTAGGATGTAAAACTGTGGCAGCGCCTGAGGCATCAGCCTCTGTGTTTTAAAGTAAACCTTTAGAGAACTTAGCTGTAGTGTGCCAAGTCAGTAATGCTTGAGATGAACAGCTCTAAGTCTTCTTTCTGAAAAAAATGCATGTTCGCCTCTCATGTCTTCAGCTGGAGGGGAGGGAATCTTAGGTTTTTATGTCCGGGAATTAAATGTAACTAAATGTAAAAACTTTTTTTTTTTTTCCCGTCCAACAGGCCATGGGTTTTGACGACAACACGCTTTTGTCTAATCTCAAAGAAGCTTTTCTAAAAATACACAATAACAGTAGCAAACGCAGTTAGGGCAGCTAAATTGCGATAACGGCATCACCTTCCTCTCAGCACGCATGAAAGCACTTCAGTTTTTCTTCCACAGTTGTAATCACTTCAACATTCACACTGTAATCAGCGCAGTCGACAGCATCGGCATGCAGAACAGGAGAAGTATCTGTTTACCCCCAACATCTCTCGCCTTACTGGGACGTGATCATAAATCTGTTTCGAGTGCAAAGGCATGCAAGCGGCTGAAGGCTCCGGGTTTCCCTGAAACTCCACAACCTCAGATTAGAACTCGAGTCCGGCTCAAAAGAGGAAGAGTTTGGAAAGAGGAAGTGTTGAAGAAGCAAACAGCCACAAGCAGTCTACTCTCAGAGCAGACTGCTGAGCCAGGAGGTTCAGATGAGGGTCTTTCATCGAGAGAGTGCTTCAGAAAAAAGATGACAAAAAAAAAAAAATCAACTGATGACCAAACTGGAGATAAACGCGTCCAAACCGCAAGAATAAACCACGCCTAAAACAAAAGCGTCCAGAGTCGCCATGTTTCAACACGTCGTCGCCGCGTCCTTACCTTCCTGCACCGCCTGGAAAGGGTTGTTGGGCTCGATGAGCTTTATGGAATGCGTGATCTTTTCGCTGTGCAGGATGTCATCGCTCAGACTGAGGTCGGACACGGCGAGCTGGAACACCTCGTCGTCCCGCACCGCGTTCTCCTCAAATATCGCACCTGGACAAGTGAGGGGAAAAAAAAAAATCATCCTTCAGGAGTCAGGAAAAAAAAATTAAAAAAACATTGAGGTATCATTTTATTAGTTTTTTTTCCTGAGTGAAGCAGGAACACTGGCAGATGCGAGCACAAATGAGGAAAACTGAACATATCATAAATCACAGACTGTCGCACTTTGATTCCACATGTATACATCATACAAAGACTGGAGTCTTTTTGTTCTGTTAAAAAAATGTGACTACAGGGACATGAGCAACCCTCCTGTGAATGACAAAGTTTATTGAATAAATGCTCATTACATGAAGGAAACAACTTGAATGATGTGAGCTCTTTAATCCTGGCATCAGCATTTAGACAACATCAAGATGCTGTTGCTCTTTATCTGCTGAGAGTATTAGTCCAATTTAATATACAAACAACACAAAATAAGAAAACAGTGATTCAGAATAACTTAAGATTAGCTGCTTTTACAAAAGCCATGTCAATAATTTTGTATTAAAAACCTTTGCATCATCTAATGTTCTTCTCCCCTGACCTTTAAACAATAAAAAAAATTACTGTCTTCCTTTTAGGCCACCCAAGCTTCTATACTTGATACTGAACTCCATTTTTTCCTATATAAATATGTTCTTACCTTGTTTTGACACAGCGAAACATAGGTTTTAATAAAAAAAAATATATATAATAATTCATTGAACTCAGGAGTATAGTGCTTCATTTGAACAGAGCAGCACAGTATTCCAGACACATTTTCATTAATTTTACTCTTCACTAAATCCTTAAGGATGAACGTTACAGTTCTCATAATAATCAAAGGTCGCAGCCAGCTTTTTAACTTCCAAATTTTATGGAAGTAATTTAATATATTAAAAGAAATGTGACCATTAATGTGTGGTTAACGCAATTAAAATATTGAGTGTAAAACCAGTTTTTTTTTTTTCTTTACAATTTTGCCTAAAAATTGATATAAATAACAGCATAGGTACACAAATGTAGCAAAACGTGTGCATGAGCCCTTAATTCCTACACATGTTTGCCTGATAATCTTCACAAGATTAAAATGTGATATAATTGCTCATGTTCTGAAAGGCTCATTACATCAGAGACCAATTAGCAACAGGTGCTCCAATGGCGTCGAAACCCTCACAGAAAAACCGAGAAGCCCTGGCTGCAAGAGCACTGTCTATTTAAAACAAAGAAGAAGAAAAAAAGAATCGGGAAAAAGCCTCAAGGCTGCATCTAGGACAGAAATACAGCTGAACGCAAAGTCTGAGTAGGAGTAGGAGGAGAAAACGTTTTTGTCTAATCGAGTCTCTGCCTTGTGGACAAAACCAAGCTCATTTCAGCCATCTTGATAAACAGCATCACACTGGACTGTAAACGTGCGACCCTCTGAATTAAGCGTCTCCTGTCTCAACATCGCTCCTTCTTTACGCTCCAAAAGTCAAGAGCGAAGATGTCTTTACATCTCCCGTTCCTCCCCACTGTCACTTTCAAACAAGACACTTACTTAAACTCCTCAGCGCGACTGAGATGTTTTTTGTAAATTTGTCAAGGGCAGTTAAGAAATTCCCGCCCCTGTGTGAGAATCCCCCTCGGCCTGCGTTTGCTCATTCCTTTCACGGAGTTTCCAAACAAACTAATCTCCGCAGCAGAAAAGCTGGCAATGGATTTGTAGGGCCTTCCTGGCTCTGCAACAAGAGAACGGCGTCCAGCTTCGCCGTCCAGCTTCCGGGCTTGATCGATCAATCACCGGCTTTTGAAATTGCGGCCATTCAGGCGCCTTCAATTAGCGAGGAATCCTGTTCCAGCCGTCAATCCCCATGCTGAGAGGATTGAGGTGAAGTTTATATTCCTCTCCTCGTGGCTGCAGCTGGGAGAGCCTTAAACTTCAACAGGTTTAATTAATAATGAGTGCAGCTCGGACGGGAGGTAAACTGGGGCCCCTTGCAGCCCTTTGACAGCTCAAGATTCACCCTCCATGAATGTTAAGTTCCTCGGAGTCTATTTTCCGTGTCTGTTTTGAGAAAGTACAGCTAAATTAAACATTTATTACACCCCAACCGGAAAATATACAGTGGTTGGGTTTTTTTTTTCTTTTTTTCTTTTTTTTTTAGTCTACTGTCGGCAGTTTGAGTTAGGTTGGACTGAAAGACATATTTTAATTATAAAGTCAATTTAAAAATTCTACAAAATAAATGAATAAAGTTTTGTGGATTTTTATTTCGAGTTGCAGATCATCAAGTGGCCCTCTAGTGGTTGTACGTCTAAATGCATAAACACAAGTCCTGTTGGATAAAAGGGCAAAAGACTTTTTTTTTCTACTAAAATGCTGAATTTATAAAATAACGTTTTATTTATTTATTTTTTATAGAATAAGGTGTTTTTTTTTTTTACCTTTATGTTTTAAGTCAGTTTCCCAGCTCAAAAAAAAGTCTGTTTCTATTTTGAGATGTTATTATTCTGATCCACTTTATTACCCCATGAGTTGTGATTTGTCGCAGCAGAGCCTGATGTAAAAAGCACCACATTACTCTGTAGTGTGATAACTGAAACACCACTTCACTTTAATCGCTAACCAGCGCAGAGAAGTGGCATCATGTTGGCAAAGCCTGCGCTCTCGTGCCAAATCACGTTTTCTGACTCCACAACAACCTCCAGCGTCGTTTCGAATCATCCAGCCCTGCTTAATTCTGGCTCCTTATAACTGCAAAGTCAACACCAAACGCCATCAAAGTCACTAATAACGCCCTGAAAAAAACTACTCTGATTTGCTACAGCTAATTCTGATTTAATCAAAATGAAAATTACAGCTTGACCGAAACTCATAAAATCAGCTGTAACAAGTTAGACTCTTTTTTTTTTAAAGTCGGTTCAAGTGGGAAAAAAAGCATTTCAGTTTTGAGTTTGAGATGGAGCGATTTGTAATTTCTCTGAGCAACTGAACTCTGACTCAGAGACAAGTTTGCTGCTGTCTCCAACTGTATTAAAAATATTTCACTTTTGAAGTATTTTCTGTCTTTAACACAAGAGATTTCAAACGGTTCAGAAATCATTTTTTCAACCCTTCCCAGTTTGATTTTTTTACCTTCAGTAAATCATCTTTACTTCGAAAAACATGCCTTTCTTGCTTTAGTGTCTCAAGTTGTGGAGTGAAGCTTCAGTTTATCATGAAATTTATCAGTAAAATTTAAAAGCATGCAGCATATTTCTACCAAGCTACAAGTTAGTTAATAAGCTAACTTTTGAGTCAGGTGTTGTTGGAGAAGTGACACATCTAAAAGTTGCAGAAACCCCAACCCTCCAGGACCTGCCCTTGTGACCCCCTCCCTAAAACAAATAGATTTTTTTTTGGTCCTTTTTCATTCTTTGAAAACCTTAAAATGACTTCAGCGGCACACATGATTGATTTGCATAAACATGCAGCAAACAGTGTCCAGAAATATTGCTTGGCATTTACCGCACACAAAATGCTCCAATCTCTAAGGTCAGATTATTTGTTTCTGAACGAGCCGAATAGTTAATCAAGACCGCAGAAATGTGGAAATCCTTTTAAAGTTGCCAAACACCAACGTGTGATTTGTGACTCTGACCTTTTCCGCAAACGTTTCCTACATTACGTCCAAGGTGGGAACTTCGCACTAGCCGGCAGCCAAATGCAATTTATTTGCCACTGTTGCTAAAGCACAATGCGTCGGAGCTGTTGTGTTTATCAAGCCTCCTCCTCACTCTGGCAGGTAATCAACCAGCAGTACCTGGCTTTGTGTCCCGGAGCTCCAGCTGGCTGCAAAAACCGGGGAGAGAAGAAGGTTTACTCTGAGATTTAGCAGCTTCTGAGACGTGGGGCCATAAACTCTGCGCCTATTCATCTCTGAGTGGCTTTATGGCAGCTGAGATTCACACAAGGTGACAATATTCCTAGATTTTGTCAAAAGTACCTAATGGCAGTCGTACATAACAACACAAGCCTTATTTTTTTGAAAGTTTGATATATATTTACCTTGATTTGATTTCTTTTAATCATCTGATGATTATTAGTGGCTGATATTATTTCAACACTGAATAGAAAGTGTGTTGCTTGACAGTAATGGAAATAATCATAACAATGATTAAAAAAAAACTCTAACTTTTGATTGTTTTCCATTAAAAACCTTTTTAAATTTGTCATTTCATTGTCTCCATATGTTTAGATTTCAATAGTTACAGTTTTTCAACACGTCTCTACAAAGAATCAAGTATGTTTTTAGTTTTTTTTACTGATATTAAAATAGGAAATAATAAAAAAAATGCTCCAAAAAGCACAATCAGCAAATTTGAGCCTCATTGTAATTCAGAAACCAGATGCAGAGCAATTAAAACAGCTCCACAGAGCAACAAGAGGAGTTTTTATGAATAAGGGGAAAGTCTGACCATTTTCTATGTACTTTTTTAAAAAATGTAAGTAAGCGCAAATAAAATCAGAGGCTGAAAGACAAAATACTTCCTGTCTTCAGAATAATATACAACATCTGCTAAAATCAGTCAGAAATAGATCAAAGTGATCGGCTGATTGCTTGTTTTACAGAAAACAGAGAGATGAGTGCAATGCGATGACAAATAATTTTTCTAATATAACATACTGTACTTGCAAAAATGTTACAATCTGGTGTATTTTTTTGTTACAACAGTGCCTTCACACTGACAGTGGAATAGACGGCCATTTTCACTGTTTTTGCCAACTTCAGTATAACTTCCTATTTGAAAAGCCATTCAAATGTGATTTCTTCTTGATAAAGCACATAATATATATATGAAAAAAAAAATATATATATATATATATATATATATATATATATATTTTTATATATATATATATATATATATATATATATATATATATATATATATATATATATATATATATATATATATATATATATATATATATATATATATATATATATATATATATGATTTTTTTTGACTTATATATGTAACAAGTAAAAATACTTTTTCCTTTT